ACAGATTTTATTTAAAGTATTTCTTTTTTCAGCCATGATGCAAGTAGCAAGGCTCTACATGTGTTAAAATGTTGGTCTGTTGTTTGGTCCAGTCAACACCAGTTAATATTCCATTAAATAACCTGCAGAAACTTGTGTTTCCAGACTGATTTTGTCTGAGGCTGATGAAAAACATGATGTCTGTTTGCTTTAAAAGTTTTAAATGAGGCATCTAAGCAACAGACCACAGAAGAAGCTTGGGAGTGTGAGTCTTTGTGTTTTCCTGTGGACTGGTAAAACGAGGCCTCTCATTAGTCTTGGGTGCGATCCCGCATTCCTTCTCTGCTCATCACCAAATAAACAGCATTTGTCAGAGTAAATCTGCCGCCGCTGCTGATTTAATTTGGCTCCAGGAAAAAGAAAATAAAATCCAGACACCAGAGAAACAAACAGATTTAAAGAAGATTCTCCTGCACAGGAATCAGGAGATGCTCCTCGATTTAAAACCAGCTGTGTCGTTGTTGTTGATTGTGTGCAGTGAATTTGCATTTGTCTCATGCTGAGTAAAGTGTTTCCTCTGCTTCTTTCATGCCTGCTGAAAGTCATTGTTAACTCTCAGTCTTCAGGAGATTTGATGGACACATCGAGCTGATTTCCATGAATTAAACACAAAAAAACCCAGTGGGTTTCTAATGTGGCTTCCACTTGATTATTCATCAGAAACAGTCAACTCACTTGTCTGAGTTGAGGCTTGTTTGAAAAGACAGTGAAGAACTCATCATCAGTTTGTCCTCAGAAACAACAAGAATCACTTAATGGTGTTGAACTTATCAGGGTTCAACTTAATTCACCATTCACACAGTCAAATTTACATCTTGTCTGTCACATTAGTTTAGCTGCTGTGGTTTTGCTGTCACTTTTCATTGGGTATAACAATAGAAATATATAATGTGACAGAAATCATCCTTGGTTTTTCATTCTCTGCTGTAGCATTGCACTGATGAACCGTGAAGGAAATCCAACAATAAGAAAACTCAAAATCTCAAATGTTTTGCAGAGCTTATGTTACACCTCACTGCTGTTCCAAAACCAGTGTGAGCTCAGTTAGTGGATGTGAGGCCACATTTTGACCAAAATGAACATAAACAAACTAACTCAAAATATTGCTCAACGAAATTCTGTCGCTGATGTGAAAGCTTGCATTAAGTAGATATTTTGGAATTGTGGAAGATCAGAATGCGTGTTGTTTGTGATAGCTGCAGCCACAGTTCTTCGAACTGCCAGACAGACATCCTGAAATACTTCTTGAAGCACCAGTGGCACCAGGCAGTGACAGTTCTCCTCTCTTCATCAATATTGTACCCAAGTAAAATATGCACCAGATCCTCATGACTTGATGTTGACGCCATCTTTCTTTTCCCATTTTTTCATTTATCCTCGTAATTTCTTAACTAAGCTGTATCACACTTAAGGTTATAAACCTACCAGATTAAACCTAATTCGTTTATTTTTGTGTATTAAGGGTATCATCCATGTTCATCAAAAAAGAAATAATGAGTAAGATACCAGTTAAAAGTAGTGTGATGCGATCTGAAGTTTTAAAGTGCCTGCTCTGTGCTGTAGCGGAGTCACATCATAGATTAACACCTGATGAGAGGAGAGTTGAGACACTTCCTGTAATTTGACTCAGTCGGGAACCTTGAGCACATAGATTGACAGTTTTACAGATATGTTCAGCATCAAAGCATTGCTGACAAATACAAAACATCATTAGAGATACAGGGTTGCATGGGAGTTGCAGAAATACGAGAATTAAATAACATAATTAAGACACAAAGCAATCAATGTTGTCTGTGACTGTAAAACAAACAGCAGAAGTGAGTTGTTCAAACTCAGGAGGCAGCAGGAACAGAATCCACTAAGATGTCTGGTTCCATTAACTGGTGCAGCTCTGAACCCTTAGATTATATATTTGGTGTTCTTTAACAAACAGATGGCAAGTGGACCTGTGGGAGCAGTCACATCAAATATACACTGGTGTAGTGCTGAAAGATCTCAGCAACAAACGCAGGAACTCCTCAACTCAAAGCTGAATCTGTCACATAATGATCAGTGGATTTTTCAAAGAGCTTAAGAATAAAATGTATTCTTGATAACAAGCAGTTAGTTCGTAAAGTATAAACATGGATCAGGCAGGAGAAAATATCAGCTATTGGCTCGACCCTGGAAGTGATACATACATCTGGTCCACACCAAACCTTAGACTGGATATAAAGATGGACGACATGGCAGCCCCCAAAGTGAAGTCATTATCTTGGTCACCCTTTGTGTCTGGCTGCAGTACAGGTCATAAACTTCTCCATTAGGAGAGGGGACCAAAAAGTCAAAGTAAACATGAAATAAATAATTTTCAATAATCATTTCAGGTAGTTCTCATCATACTGATGATCCAAATATTCATGTTCCTCATTACTTTTGATTAAATATTGATGTCATAAAAGACGTGGTGAAACTCTTGATTGACAGCTGAGACTGACTAGTGATTGGTTGAGGGTGAAAAAACTCGAAAAAGATTTGTTTGTTTGTTTGTTTTTTCCACGACTATTACTAATAACCAGAGTCTCAGGAGGTTAAGAGAATGAACCTCAACAATAGCAGAAAAGAAACTCGACAATTTGCTTTAAGCTTCATTAAGACATATGAAGTGATATCTAGGTTCAACTTTCTCCAATGGGTTGTGAGTTTGACAGAGTCCGGGTCACAGTTATTTGTCAGGTGATGATTTGAGGCCTAGATAGTCTTCATCTCCTCCTGACTCTCCATCCTGTCAGATGGACAGTTTTCATTTCCTGTGCTGCTCCAGACACCAGATGAGTCCTGACAGTGTTTGTGTTGATCTCTTTCTCCAGACTCGTCTATGCGACACCCCCGGCCGCTGAGTGAAGGCTCTGTGGAAAGCTAATCGATTGTAGGAAAACATCAGCAATAATCACCACCAGCGCAGGCACAGGGAGCGCGACCTGACGGAGACGGGTCCAGATCTGAGCAGGAGGGCAGCTGTGATGGAGTCTGTGTGACGCAGAGCTGCTGAGAACTTTGATAAGAGCTTGAACGTAACCTGGAGCCTCTGAGGCTGAACGATCAATCAACAGGATTGTTTTATTCAGACAGAAGAGCAGGGGACTGCAGAGCTGCTGTCATCATCATCATCACATCTCCATCAACAGCCAAACAGCCATCACTCAACATGGAGGGCACATGTTCCTGCTGGAACATGTGCAGAAAAGATGTGAGATCAGCAAGTGTCTCAGACAGATCATCACTTTCATGCACAGAACATCTCATGCTGAGTGTATGAAATATGTTTCATTATATAATACAAGAATAAATAAATAAATGCTTGGTTCATAATAAAATGAGTTTATTATTTACCGTAGTCTATATAAAAATACAATGAGAAACTGAATATGTAATTCACAATCTAATAAAGAATGAGGAAATATTATGTATTAAATGGGTTTTTTATTTTTATTATTCATTATCATTCTTATTACATCTACTATTATAATTGTTTTTTCTATTACAACCAAAGATTTCTAGCACATATGAATATCTATTTGAATATGTAAAATTTGCTTTATAAAATAACAGAAACGCTTCTCTTTGAGATGCTGTACACCTCATTTATTATTAGTAGAATTAGTATTACTAGTATTTTCATTATCAATTACATTAATCATAAATGTATCAAGGAATGCAAATGAATTACATCATTTGTGATAACTTTATATATATAAACATATATTATATAAAATAAAGGAGTATCCATATGTTATTTAACCAAATGGAAAGTTTTTTTTTATTTGTATCATTGACAGCGAACACTGCAGTTTCAGTTTCTATAGAAACTCTGAATAATGTATTTCTTTATGGTAAACAACACATGCAGTAATTAGAGCAGAAAGTAAAGAACACAACATATTGGATCACAATAACATGTGAGTTCAGAGGAAACATAAAAATAGTCATTGGCCAGTGGATGACAGCAATAATTCATGCTGTCAGTGCTACTCTCCAACAACTGGAAGATCTACATTTTCACAGCAGCACACACTGTTTGCAGCAACATTCCTATAAAGAGGATTATACCTGACAAAACATGAACAGGTTTATATTCAGACATGTTCAGATTACATCTCAGGCTGGCTGGATTAGCACAAGTTACTAACTGTGACATAAAGCTGCTGGTTTCTTGGATTTCTTCAAAGCTCCGAACTTCACATGAGGATTTTTTTCCAACTCCATAAGATAAGCCTGGAAAATATTTTGTATGATGTAACATGTGTATGATGGTTTCTGGAACAGTTGGCAGGATTTGAACCATCAACACATGTTTCCCCACTAAGAGGTTGAATGAATGCAAACCAACAGGCAATATCAGAGTGTTGGCACTCAAAAAATAATAACTCACACGCGATCTGCAGCAGCATATCACGATCTATGACTACGTTTGATTGTCGGTCACTCTCCAGTGGTGGATGTTGGAATGGGTTGACAAAGTCAGTTTAATCCCTATTTTACATTAAAATAAACGATATTTTGTCAAACCTATAACCAAGTGTCCTATTTCAGAGTGGCACTGTATACCTAAATTGAAAACTGCAGGCACAAAGACAAGGGTGACCCTCACAGTGCCCCTCACAGTGCCCCTCACATTTCGGTGCTCCGCCCCTGTTGCACCGGACCGGTCCCGGTGTATCGCGCTTGATTTGCCCCAAGATACACGTTATTGAAACCGGTGACGTCAGAGAGAGAGAGAGAGAGAGAGAGAGAGATGCTGTGGAAGCAGCAGGTCGCAGAGGATCCTCAGACCCATAGTGGCAGCAGCTGCATCTCCTCCTCCTCCTCCTCCTCCTCCTCCTCCACTCCATCACCACCGGGCAGCCGGTCCGCGAGACGACCTGAACGACAGAAACGTGCAACATGCCAGCTGAACACTTCCTGTCGGCCCCGGCGTCGCTTCTTCCAACTCTGGTGGGATTTACGCGGACGAGCGGACGGAGACTGTTGATGGATCCGCGGCGCAGGGAGCTGTAAGTTGGGCAGTAAAGTGGGAAACTTCCTATCTGGACCAGGTTTTACAATTTGATGGACGTGCTGCGGTGGAGGGGATCACCTCGGGAATCATCACCCGCTGCTGCTGCTGCCGGTCGCCGCTGCGCACCGTGACGCGCCGGGTTGCGCGGAGAGGACCCCCGGCTGCTTCACCCGGAGAGTCCGGGGAGAGAAACAAAACCCCTCAGTGCTTCTTAAATCTCCTCAACTCTGGATCTATCAATTCAGGCTCGTGTGTGGTTTCATATCCCGGAGATGCCACCTGTGTCTCGCCTCCGTCCTCCTGTGGATGGGATCGAGATGGATGTGGCGCCGTGAGGAGGCACCTGCTCCCGGATAATCACAGTTTGGACAGTTTGTGGCTGCCGGTGCGGCTCTCGGCTCTTCCTCATGCAGCTCCTCCGGCTGGCCTGGGCTCTGACTGCCGCTTCGGTCTGCATCCTGCTGCTGCTGCTGCTCCACAACCACATCCTCAGAGAAGGTAGCTCACACACTTTGGGATGGTGTGTGTGTGTGTGTGTGTGTGTGTGTGTGTGTGTGGAAGGTCAAACTGAGGGCCTCAACAGGTCTCTGATTTTTTTTGCAAATGTTAAAGACTACGTCTACATAAAAATGAACGTGCGCAGTCGTGCACGTGTTGCTCATCGCGTGCATGTGCAGCAGAGGACGACATGGTGATAAAGGTGAAGGGCGGGAGATGGTGAACAGACCAAGCAACAGAGGCAGTGGAGTAGTTCCTGGGTTCTGGGCCGGGCTGAGGCGCTCAGGAGGCGGCCTGAGCTCCAGCGAAGCTCGGCTGGTTTCTATTGGAAGAATCCAGAAAGATTAGAGACAATGATCAGAGGAATCACTGTGACTCTGCCCCTCCTCTCTCTCACTCTCTCTCACACACACACACACAGACAAACAAAGACACAATCCATGCAGTTAGATTTTTATGTGTCACAAACTTACACATTAAACGCCTGATCGAGTGGATATGAGTTCTGAAAAAGTTAAACTTGCCTGATTACAAAATAATAAAATGACCGAGCTAAAACTTTGCATATTTGAACCCTTATAGGGATTTCAAATCATGCTTCTGGTAATAACTCTTCACTTTTCCAAACATCAACGATGGAAAATTATTGAACAATAATTAAACAAACTAAATGATAGGGCTGGCAGGCCCGGCAGTTCATAGGGAAAGCAGTCGTGCCCAGTTGAGGGGAAGCAAGAGGTCCGTCCACTCATTCCTTTTTGTTCATATTGACATTACACAGTGTTGAACTAACACATTTTCAGTAATGCTAGAAATCACCTCAGATACTTTCATTTGTCAGTTTGAAGAGTTCGATGAAGAAAAAAAAGAAATGTCTCCAGCTACTGCACAAATTCCTTTGTAATCTTCAGAGTGTTCAGCTCCAAAGGAAACAAGAGACGGGCCTTGAATTAATTCCACTTCTGGTTTTACAAGTAGCAGGATCAACAGTCCCCTGGATTTTGCTACAGATGAAACCTTATGACCTTTCGACTGGTGGACGCTGCACCGACAGGCACAACTCAGGCCTTGAAAAACACTGCATACTCTTTTTTTTTTTTTGGCAAGAACATAATAGTATTAAGAACTAGAGCTTATAACCCTGCCAAGGCCCAACAGTCCCCTTAAAACAACACATTTAAATTAACTACATCCACATTTTTATTTGGATCTGTGCCCAATGACACACATACATAAATATCAGTCCCAAACAAGCTGGATTTCAAAACACCCTATCTTACAATATTAAAGAAAGCCAAACAAAATGACTTGCACCCACCCCCTGATCTGGATCCTCACCAAAATGTGATGGGGTCTTCCATGGGTCATCAAAATGTAATGTTTGAGCATTTTTTGCATAATCCTGCTAACAAACAAATTAACAAACACACACACAAATACAGATGAAAACATAACCTCATAGGTGGAGTTAATACAACTAGCAGTAGCTCAGTCTATAGAGACTTGGCGGTTCAAGTCCAGCATGGACCGAAGTATATAAGGTGGACTGGTAGTTGGAGAGGTGCTACCCAGGCGCCTTCATGGCTGCCCACTGTTCTGTGTGGTCACTGTGTGTATTGTGTTCCGTGTGTGCTGTGTTCACACGGATGGGTTAAAGGCAGAGGTCAAATTTCCCCATGTTGCATGTGCATGATTGTGGGACAATAAAAAGGAATCTTAAAGATGTGTAATGCCAATTAATAAGATCATTCTTTATTAGAAATGTGCAATATTACAGCAGCAAGAGTCAAAATAGGCATCAGTAAGAAACGTTCAATAAAGTGTACGTGATAAAAAAAAAAAGATAAGCCATTGCTGGACAGTGGTTGGTAAAGTAGAGGACAAAACAATATTCATCAACATGAAAAACATCTAGTGTCACATTTAGTAATAATACAAGTGATGTTCTCTTCTTCTTTAATTCTTGCTATTCATTTGAAAAGTCTAATAGCCAATTCCATTCTGATGTTATTTGACAAAATGAAATCAATATCCAGACTTTCTGCATCGCCTCACTTTCCAAACCAAGCCTCCACCCTTGGTCATTGCTGAGTATTTTATGATCAGTTTCATTTTGGATGCTTGTATCAACAATCAATGGAAATATCTTCAGTCTATCTCCAGTGCATAGATACGTATGTGCGTTTGTTTGTGTGATCCTCTGCAACACAGACTGTGTAACATAAAGCCTTGGTTTTGCAGCCTTCAGAGCTTTTTCTCCCTCTGTTGAACCGAGCACAGCTTCCTTTGAGGTTTGACCTGCGCTAACAGAATGAATGTAAAAACAGTTTTCAGCAATAAAAGAGACCAGAAATGAAATAAAAATCAAAGAATCTCTGCTTAGCTCCTCAGCAGCAGTAATGATCCTGTGTGATGGCTCATTATCAGAGCTTTTTCTAAAGTGGAACTTACCTCCCAGTGAGACACTCTGCAGCAAAACCAGCAGCCATCATAACCTTGAAAATTGTACATGTGAAGTGAAGAGGACAGTTTGGAGCACAGATAGTGAATTTAACACACAAGCTGAGTTGCTCTGAGTTATGATTAATTAATAGTCCGCTATAGCTGCAACGATTGGTCTTTAATCAATTAGTTGATCGATAGAAAATTAATTCAACATTAAACCTTTTTTTGCTCCCAGCTTTTATCCTTTTCTCGTATAATTTTAAGCGGAACATCTTTGGACTTTTTCTTGGACAAAATAAAACATTTGAGGACGTCCAGCTACTTTCTGATGTTCTATGGACAAAACAATGAACTGAGAGAACAGTCAGCAGATTAATTAACAATGAATTCAATGTGCATTGCAACCTAGTATGAATATGGGAAATTCTCAGGCAACGAGGTGTTTATAGGTGATTTAAGGTGATTAAAGGCAAACTGTCTGTTTGTTGTAGGGTCAGTGTCAATAGAGAGATTGAACTACATTTGGAATCAGAATATTTTAACTTCTGCTGCAACTTTTCTTCTATTAAAAAAAACGTTTTGGAAATGACACTGAATCAGTAGATTGCAGTGGCAGCTCCAGGATTCTCCTAAATCAGGGGTTGTAAAGGGGCAACATTTACAAATGATATGTTCAACATCCATGCACAATTCCTGAATCCAGTGCACAAACTGCACATTTAAGGCAATCCTTGTTTCATTGAATATATTGAATATATTTTGAACATTGTTCCTTGTTCAAGCACATGTGTACTTTAGTAAATAACAATTCTTAACACAGTCATGTTTATTGTTAGTATTATTAGTAAGTGACCTCTTATTTAAAAGTCAAGTAGTCTTATTCAGGGATAGGTCAGTGTGAAAATACTGTTTTGGATAGTGTGGACTTTCAGACCAATTACAGAAAGTCAAGACAGCAATAATCAATAGAAGGAGAAAAATAAGAGGAAGTGGTTCACAGGATTGTTTGTGGTTTTTGAAAGAATAAGTATAAGTGGTTAATGGTGATGACAGAACATATGATTGTGATAAAGACTTTAGTCCCCTCCCTACTTTACAATGTGAAACCTAAACCTGGATCACATGTAAATAATTTAACAATATAATAAAGACAGGACCCTTGGTGTGGACCATGGTCCAGACTTTCAGGTGTGAAAATACCCCTAACCTATATTAGATGCAGAACACACATGTGCCAAACACGAGGCATCAAACCTAGCATATGTATATAACCTAGCGGACGGACAGTGTGCGAACCTGTGGATGTATTTGAATACAATGGGTTCACGCATATTGATCTTCTGGGTGATACCTATAAGTCTAGACTAGTTAGACAGTTCTAGGAACATTCAGAGTTCATGTGTGAAGGCAACGTTTGTCATGCAGTGCACTGCACTGACTCTCTCTGAATAGAGACACATAGAGCCTCTCTCTTGCAGAGCAGTCTCAGCTAAGTTTTTACTATGGATAGATACATTTTTTCCAAAAGGTGTGTGGCTACAATGTTGTTTTAATTATAGATGTTTAAAAAACCTCAAATACCGCATTCCAATTGTATGCCTCCACCAACCAGCACAGATTCTGTCCAGATAAGTTTTTCCCCAGACTCACATGTGGACACCATGACCTTTGACCCCTTAAAATCTAATCAGTTAATCTTTGAGGGTTTTTCTGCTAAATTTGCAATGACAATAACAATGACCATCACCTCTAGATTGTTTTAAGTAATCTATGAGACCAAGTGAATGTTTGTGCCAGATGTAATGAAATTCCCTATGGGCGTTCGGATCATGTCCACAAAAACATGAGGTCACGGTCTCCTTTGACCTTCAACCACCAAAATCTAACCAGCTTATCCTTGTGTGCAACTGAAGTGACATTGCCTGCGATTGTGCTTCTTCTGCTACTTTGTAATCACACATATAAGTATGTAGGGGTCCGGGGGTCAATGATGATGGTCTTCAAAAGTGACTGACCCACGCAGGCCTATATCCTTGTGGGATGGTTTAAAAACAAGCCAACAGAAATGCTGGAACAAGAGTTTCCAACCCTGTGTCTGCTTCCCCCCCCCCACCCATCTGGTTCACAAACTCGTGTTTAATTAGCTGTAGAAGGAAGTAGTCAGAGCACAACTGAGCCTTAGAAAATAAAATGCCTTATTTTTTATAATAAGGCTATTGATTAATCATAGATATATGTACTTTATTGATGCCAATTTAGGAAAACCGGTGTACTGCCAATCCCTACTTGTGACTCTCCCTCTCCCTGACATACAGATATTTCAAATAATCTTTGCAGCAGAGAGAAGAGAATCTTACAATCCACCATTCAGAGCTCAAAAAGACTCAGCTGGACACGTCCACATTTCTCCTGACGCTGCAGTAGCTCTTCATATTATTTTGGATTACATAGATGAAAGATCGGTATGTCAACTTCTTCTCGCTTTATCAAACAACGTAAGTGGTTCAACATATTTAATGGGATAAAGTTAAAATCCCAGATGAGAAATTTGAATG